AACTTTCCAAGTAAATGATTTTCCACATTCACGACACTCATAAGGTTTTTCTCCAGTGTGAACTCTCTGATGGCAACGGAGGCCACTGTGAGAGGTATAAGATTTCCCACATTCATTGCAAACATAAGGTTTTTCACCAGTGTGAACTCTCTGATGACGATGAAGGGTAACTTTCCAAGTAAATGATTTCCCACATTCACTGCACTCATAAGGCCTTTCTCCAGTGTGAACACTCTGATGATAATGTAAGCCAGTGCTACTGGCAAAAAACTTCCCACATTCACTGCACTCATGAGGCCTTTCACCAGTGTGAACTTTCTGATGTTGATGAAAGCGAGAGCTAGTGATAAAAGATTTCCCACATTTACTGCACTCATAAGGCTTTTCTCCTGTGTGAAATCTCTGATGACAATGCAGGCCATTGCTATCGGTAAAAGATTTCCCACATTCATTGCACACATAAGGTCTTTCACCAGTGTGAACTCTCTGATGACGACAAAGGTTAACTTTCCAAGTAAATGATTTCCGACACTCGCTGCAATCATAAGGCCTTTCTCCAGTGTGAACTCTCTGATGACGATGAAGGTGAGTGCTAGCAATAAAAGATTTCCCACATTCACTGCACTGATAAGGCCTTTCTCCTGTGTGAACTCTCTGATGATAACGGAAACCATTGCTGGTGGTAAAAGTTTTCCCACACTCACTGCACTGATAAGGTCTATCTCCAGTGTGAATTTTCTGATGACAATGAAAGCCAGTGCTACTGGTAAAGGATTTCCCACATTCACTGCACGAGAAACAGTCTTTTCCAGTGTGGACACCCTTGTCCTGAAGAAACGTGTGGTTACAGCCATTGGCTTTCTTACATTCTTTTCTGGAGCAATAAGTTTTTCTCTTTGGAAATGTCACCGCACACATCGAGATGTCATTTCGCCTGTCTCTGGTCTGAGTAGCCTCTTGCTGGGGATGTCCTGACTCAGTACAGATGTCCTGCCCCACCTCTCCACAGGTAAAAAGCTTCTGAGACACATTGAAATGGCAGCCCTTTGCCCCTGAGATGCTGTTCATACTTCTTTTCAAAGGCTTCTCTCTGCAGTGCTGCTCCTGGTGCTGGTGAAACTGTGCATGGAAATGAAATTGCTTTGTACATGCCCCACACCTCAACAGTATCTGCCTGTGTTGTAATTCCTGCTGCTCAGTCAAGTGGAAAATGTTTCTCAAGACTAGTCCACAACTCTCACAGGGGTGGCTCTTCTGGGAAGACAAAGCTAACTTGGGATTCTTTGCCTGTGACACTCTTACAGCAATGTTCTCTTCAAGCTGTGCCTCCACATTCCCTGCTCTACAACAGCAACCTAAAAAACAAAAAAAGAAAATGCAGGTGAAGTACATGGTGATCTTAGCAGGAAGAAATATCCTCATCACACTGGCCATCTGTCACAGCCAGGCATGATTCTATGGGATGATTTTCGAGACCAGTGAGTTAGACTCTGACAAAATGATTGTTACACATTACCTGACCCCTAAAGTCAGTCAATAGTGGAGATACTATGAAGGGAGGGACCTGAGGATAGGATGGGACACAAACAAGAGATACAGGGTCCACTAGTTATCCCTTTACAAACAGCTTCCTGTAGGACCTTTCATACCAGTGACACAAGTCTGTGTGGACTAATTTGAATGTGCTCAAACACATAAAAATCCATTGTATTTCAGCAAATGACACGTAAAGTTAATATAATGTGCACATGCCAGGGCTCTCAAGACATGAACCAAAGTTGGAGTGCAGTAAAGAGAAGCAAGCAGTTCAGATGCAAACTTTAGAGAGGTAAAGATTATTCATGAGCTGGGAATCCAAGTAGAAATAGTAACTATTAGAGCTGAGTAGTTGTGCCTTAGCTGGTGTGGCTCAGTTGGTTGGGAATGGTCCTGTGCATGGAAAGTTTGCCAAATAGAAATCCAGCCCTGACCGGTTTGGCTCAGTGGATAGAGCGTCGGCCTGTGGACTGAAGGGTCCCGGGTTCGATTCCCATCAAGGGCATGTACCTTGGTTGCGGGCACATCCCCAGTGGGGGGTGTGCAGGAGGCAGCTGATCGATGTTTCTCTCTCATCGATGTTTCTAACTCTCTATCCCTCTCCCTTCCTCTCTGTAAAAAAATCAATAAATATATATATATTTTTAAAAAAAGAACAAGTAGAATAGGGTAAAGAACTGGCAACAGTAACAAACCAATGTTGAACAAAATGGGTTCCTAATTATGACCTTAACAAAGCTTTGGTGTCAAACCCTATCCAATAGCCCTTCACCAAGGCAAGACTGTCTCTGGGTCCACTTTGCAATGGATGGAATCATGTTTGTCCTGCGATGCACAAATAATACCTCCCCTTAAATCCCAGTTCAGCAATTACATGGGATACAGATGATAGAAATCCTAAAGGAAAACCTGAAAAGATGGATGGCCAGCGAGAACACGAAAGAAAACACTGTAAAAAAAAAAAAAAAGGACAAAAGAAAAAAAAACTATGACACCAGCAATATGGCAAAATAGAAATAGAAGAATTTATCTCCCTACCAGAACAAGTAGGCCCCTATCCACAAACGAAGAAAATACCCACTGCAAATGGAATAAGAGCTCAATAATGACAAACGGCAATGCAGAAGAGCAAAAAGGGGAGAACTGCATAGAAAGGATGATTGGGAAGATGGGTGATCAAATATATCTGAAGATAGGTCAAATATATTAACACAAGAGTCAGAGTTACCTCATTGACACTAGTGGCCTGTTCTGTTAAAAACACTGGAAAATTTTGTTTTGAAAAACCACAAAAGCCCATATAACATCTGTGAACTCCTCAAAATTTGCACATTAAAGGACTCTCTAGAGCAGTGGTTCTCAACCTTCCTAATGCCGAGACCCTTTAATACAGTTCCTCATGTTGTGGTGACCCCCAATTTCATTGTTACAAATGGAACATAATTAAAGCACAGTGATGAATCACAAAAACAATATGTAATTATATATGTGGTTTTCCGATGGTCTTCGGCGACCCCTGTGAAAGGGTCGTTCGACCCCAAGGGGTCGCGACCAGCAGGTTGAGAACCGCTGCTCTAGAGCTTGTTGGCATGAATTATATAAGAAGTCTTTGGCCACAACCTACTCTGAAAGAGAAAAAAAAAAAATCAGTATGTCCCCAGTAGTATTTTCCACTCTCAACTGTCATAGGAAAAAACTGCTTCCAAAGCCACTGTGGACTTATAAATAAGTAAGTAAATAAATAAATAAAATAACTTGACGATGGACTTCACAAATCTGTAAAGGAGATGTGATAATCAAGTGCATGCGCTCTCACAGGTCCCTGTATAGATTCAATGCAAACTGAACTTCACCAAGACACAGCATAATGAAAGTATCAGAAAAACAAAGGCAAACAGAATCGTGAAAGCACAAAGAAGAGAAACTCATTGCACAGAGGGAAACGCCCAAATAAGGGAATTAGTAGATTTCTCCAAAGACATCTTGCAGTCTAAGAGGAAATATAATGATATATCCAAAATACTTCATGAGCCCGGCTGGTGTTGCTCATTGGTTGAGTTTCGACTCAGGAATCAAGAAATCATGGTTCGATTCCCGGTCAGGGTCCATGCTAGAGCTGCCGGCTCCATCCCAAGGGGGCATGGAGGAGAAAGCCAATCAATTATGTTTCTCTCTCTTTGGTGTTTCTATCGCTATATCTCTCCCCCTTCCGCTCTCTCTAAAAATCAATGAAAATGTATTTTCAAAAAATATTCTATGAAAACCATTAATACTTTATCCAGAAAACCTATTCTTTAGAAAGAATAGCTTTTCAGACAAACAAAACCTAAGGAAGTTCATCGCCACTCAACCTGACTTATTAGAACTGTCAAAGAGTTCTTCAAGATGAAATGAAAGAACACTAAATAGAAAC